TATATTTGTACATAGAACCATGAGGTAGATGAGAGACATATCATTTCAAGCAGCCCATGACTTTAATGATACTAACTCTAAAAAAAGGAATGCAGAATACTCAACATACAAGAGTTGCAAACTCAGGAAATACTGCACCATGTAGATCTTTCCATGCTATAGAAAGAGGTTCATGTCAAGATAGCAGTTTTCATACCTATTAGCTCTTTGTTTCTTGCTTCTATTTCCTCCAGTAGCGTTTCAGGAGTAGATGTTAATTTTTCGTCATCTGCACTGTAACTTTCCAAAAACTTCTTATACTCTGGGTCTGGGGAGATAGATTGATGCATCATAAAATCTGCATGTATGCCCTCTACTGGACGTCTGCAATGGGCATTTTGCATTTTCTTTAACACAGTTCTTCAATGAACTACAGCCCCATATTTCTCTTTAGCCAAGTTAAATTGGCTGAGACACTCCAAAACAGGGACCACACTTCCTCTTATGTTTAGTAAATTATGCAATTAATTGCAACACCAATGCAAAACTTCAACTTCTTTATACAGTATAACCATATAAATCCGGCATCTTTGGGACCTTGCACCTGTCGGAAATTTGAAAATTCAGGATTTTTGAAACATACGGAAAGCGCATAGCTTGGCGCTGCCTGACTGGCTGGACACAGGGGGGAAGCTTGCAGCGGCAGCTGCCATCCACTGCCCTGTGTTGCCACCCCATGTGCGGCTGCTGCTACTCTTGCCCACTGCTCTGCAACCAGTCAAAAAAGGTTGAAAACCCCCAACGTAGTGTCTTTTTTTAAAAGTGCTGGATTTTTGAAAAACGAATTTGTGAGGTTATACTCTACCATGATTTCTGTATTAAGCCAATTGTGTTATTAGTTTATAGTTGCCTGCTTTTCTGCAAGTGCACTGAGCTTGGAGAAGCTTTTGGGACAAACACCATCTTTTCACTGCCTGCCTGCATAGTGTTTAATACAAAGGGATCATGACCTTTAATTGCAGCCATGAGGCACCACAATAATACTTTTGAAGACATATTGGAGAAAGTTTTTTCCACAAGTTACTTGTTAAGTTTAAAGTTTGCAGGCATTCTTTTGTGATGCTAATGTTACATAGTAAAAAAACATTCACATTTTTGCTGTAAGATGGTTCTGCCTCATGTATAAGCTGATGGATATAAACACATACAAACAAACAACTCTAGCTGTTATACCATCGTCAATAGTCCCAGTTTTGGCATCCTTTTTCTTACTCTTCTTTTTTGCAGCTTTTTGGAATGGTGCAAATTCCACTATGGCAGCATATTCCTGACCTGTTATACAGAACAAAATACACAATAACTTAAATGTCTGCCACTATTTTACATTAGGATAGATGCTTACAAGAAACAGGCAACCCTAGAACATCTAACTAGATATTTCATTTACAGACTATAAACAGAATACACTGAAAAACAGCATTAAATGAATGCTAAATTTGCAAAGACTAGCACTCAGAAGTGTTAGCAGTAAGGATGCCCATTACATTTTATATTTATGCATTATGGTCATGCCCCATTTTCCCCTGTACACTTCCCCTGCTTCATTCATTGTGTGAATAGAAGGTGATTTTAAAAGTAACTGTGGAGAAAAAAAAAAATCCCTAATCTTGATAATATCTGGTAGAATGTAACATCCATGCATAATAGCCAAAATCTTTTTTCAAGGTTTCTTCTGAATGGCAAGCATATTAAGATGCATAGATTCAATATATTACTGCAAAAAGATTACATGAATTACTGAGGTTCAAAGCCACAGAATACGTATGCATTTCAAAAGTGATGTTTAGACCTATGAAAGGATTAAAGCATGATAATTAAGCTTTCATTTGCTGCAGGGTAAGAATGACCAGGCAGGAACTGCTGTAAAGGAAATGATACAAAGTAAATAATCTCTTTCCCCTTTTACCTCAGCGTAACTATGTTTCACCTAAGGCTACTGATATACAAGTCAAAAGATACTAAGTATATAACCACATTTTGAGTACTTGCCTTTGTGATCAACAAAAACATAACCGTCAAAACGATCCCTGAATAGTACTATGTCTTCTTGGTTTTTAAAGTTGATGTAGGCTCGAGAAAACATGTGAGGATACAAACTGCAAGAGACAAAAACAAGCAACATAAGGGGAAACTAAGCTGGATAGAATTGCTGATTAGTCTAGTTATATGAACTACAGGTATACACTCACGGTCCAGTCCAACACAGTGGAGTTGTGTGCTAAACACCCCCCTCCAAAAAAACAAAAAAAACAAAAAAAAAACAACAAAAAAAAAACAACCAAAAACCAAAACCCTCCCACCTCAAACCCAAACTTTATGCACCTGGAATCATTGGCAAAGAATTCAAAATAGTCATGTTCAGGCAGAGGCTGAAGATGTTCCTCGAGCTGCTCCTTGGTCAGACTGGGAGGCAAGCGCCGAATTACAACCTGACCCAGTGATGCCGGGGAGGGGGGTGAGGGTGGGAAGAGACAGAAACAAGAGAGACAGGGTAAGAAGATAATGTCATCTCCCCTCCGTTTCCACTGAGCTCATTACCCGAGATGTTGCACGATAACAGACCTGTGCTCTACGCAAGGCTTGGGGGAAATGCCCTGCAGCAGCAGCCTTGGGCCACGTCCATAACTGAGGCCCCTGCCACACATTAGATCGTAAGAACTGCCATTTCCTGGATCAGACCATAGGTCCCTCTTGCCCAGTCTCCTGCGTCACACCCAATAATGGCCTCGCTCTTCTGGCAGGCTTATAATAAGACTTGGTGGGCCTAGGCCAGGGGCAGGCAAAGTCTGGCCTGTGGGCCGGACCGAGCTGGCAGTGGACTCCATTTCCCAGCAGCCCCTGCCCACACGGCTGGAGCCAGTCTCCATAAAGACTCCAGCTGCTGACTATGATAGTGCAAGGCTGGGGTTGCCACAGAGACCAGCCCCAGCTGAGCTGGCAGGGCAAGCAGCAGAGCAGGGCAAGGGGCTGCTCCAGAGCTGCTGGGATCTTGCAGTGGGGGCAGCTTGGTCCAGGGCCAGCTGCCACCTGCATGCTTCAGGTAGGGGTGCGCAGGCTGTGGATTGCGGCTCTGTATTGGCTCCTTGCCAAGGTGACAGCCACGTCCTGAGCCGGGGCAGAGCCACAATCTGCCGCCTGCACATCTCCGCCCAGAGCATGCACGTGGCAGATCGCAGCTCTGCCCTGGCCCCGGACCAAACCGCCCTGGCCATAAGATCCCAGTGGCTCCAGAGCAGCCCCCTGCCCCGCCCATGCGGCTGAGGCTGGTCTCCATGGCAACCCCAGCCTTGTGCTGTCACAGGGGCTGGGGTCTCCATAGGGACAAGCCCCAGCCATGCGGGCAGGGAGCCCAGACCCGCCAGGTTACCCATCCCTGCCCTCGGCCCCTGCCCAGCAACACAACACACAGGCCTGCGTCACACGGGGGCAGAGAGCGAATGCTGAAAGGCAGAGCAACGGGCCCGACCAGGGCTCGCTCCCGGCCGCCGGCCTCGAGGAACTTCCCACTCAGCAGCCGGGACCTTCGCACCTGCGCTCAACCGCTACGTCATGCAAGTCCCTGGGGAAGCGTGCGATCGACACAGCCCGGCCACACGCCCTGCACAACCCCCGGCAAAAGCATGCGATAAACGGAGACCGGAATGACACGCGCAATAAACGCAGCCCGGCCGCACACATGACGCCGGTGACACGCCATCAAGCCCGGCCAGCTGCGGGCAGAGCCGCCCGGCTGCGGAG